TGTGTGTGTGTGTGTGTGTGTGTGTGTGTGCGTGCATGTAATCAGTGCTATCTGCCAGAGGACAGGTGAGAGCAGAAAACACACACACACACACACACACACACACACACACACACACACACACACAGGGAGAACATCTGCATGCTGTCGTCACAGTTAGCTTGCTCTCAGCTTCTTCTTCATCCTCTTCATCTTCTCTTTCTTTATTGTCATCCTCTTTTCTTCTCGCCTTTTATGGTCTTTGTCCTCCAACAATGTAACCTTAGCCCTGTGTTTCCCTTAATGGGTCAACTGAAACTATCATAAATAACAAATAAAAAGGACTAGCATTCATATTTAACATAAAACAAGTAAATATAGGTTGACTACCGGTAATTGTTTTTCGTGGTGTATTTCAATTAAGGTTTATTTAATTGGTTTTTGTTTTTTATGCTTTTTTAATGCTGATTGAAAGAAAATGAAAAAATTCACATCTTTCGTAAACATAACATACAATAGTGCTTTTTCAAGATTCTTGACTAATTGATTAGTCGACTCAGAATGAATTGAGTCAACTAAGACAGACATTTTCTTTTGTTAGTTTCTATAAACTTGGTCTGGCCAATCACTTTACCTTGCTGCTCGTGGCAGTGAAGTGGGTGGTCTGCGTCGTATAATTGTCTGATTTATGCTTCAGGATTGAGAAAATAAGGTTGTGCAAATTTGGGTTGGGAAACACTAATTATTGAAGCAGCTGTGAGTAAACATTTTAGAAATTTGTTCTGGATGGTGACACTAAGCATATTGAAGAAACAGATGGCTTTCTACAGCTAGACTGTTTAAATGATGCTATGCTGCAGGGAGCTATGCTAAGAAAGCTATATATACCATCAGGCATTGCACTTAAGGATAAATGGTACACTGAAGAGAGGAGAAGGAGTACAAGTGTTTATTGTGAGACAAAATTCCACTTGTGAATTACTCCAAACATTTTGTAAACAAATAACTCAACACAACTTTTTTTTTTGGCTAATTTATGATGGATTGTCCACTAACATTGATCTGGATTGAAGGAATTGTGCAACAGCTATTATGTAACAGTACAGAGAAATTATCTGAGTATCCAAAAGTGTTTTCCTTTGTTACACCGATTACATATTCCACTATCCCTGGATTGTGTGTAGGAAATGAATGAGTGATTTCAGACACAGCCACTGTTGCTGCAGTCATAGTTGTCTTATCTTTAAGGCACATAGTCTCAAATGATCAAGCCTCCTGATGAAGATGAATTAACAACCAAATGTAAAACCAAACATTTCTTCCATGTTCTTTGTCAGTTGCCGGTCCTGTGCAGTCGGGCGGTGCAGCTTGGCTCCCTCTACGTCCGGGGGCTGGCCCACCTGTTGGGGGCTAACTGTGCGAGCGGCGGCCCGCTGCCAGGCGCCGCCCTCATGCCTTGGAGCAGCTTCGATGGACGGCTGTTCCACTCAAAGTACCTGCTGGCTCACAGTGGCTCAGACAACACTGTGCTGCTGGACCGCGATGTGAGTGGAGACGGAAAACAAAAAGGGGAATGTGTGTGGTTGTGTTGTATGTGGCATGATTTTGGGGAGAGACAAATATTACACAGATGTCTTCTGTTGCAAACTTTTACAATAAATGAAAAGATTGATATTGAGATGTAATCCATTGTGTGTTTTTGTCTGACTCTCTCCAGCCGTTCTGTTTGTCTCAGTTTCTCTGCCTGAGAGAGAAACTTACAGAAACCTGCAGGAAGCGAGGCAGAGTCCTGCAGTCCAGACCCAAAGCACCGCAACAAACTCCTGGACCCCCAAACAGAGATAGACACACAGGTGAGACACAAGACTGATCATTAGAGATTAACACTAGCCATTTACAACCTTAGCCAACTTTACAAGTTGTTTTCAGTAGGGCAGATAATGAGAATCCTTGAGATGTGTCTTAAAGGTCCCATGACATGGCCATTTCTACTGATCATATTTCCATTGTTGAGGTCTACTAGAATAGATTTACATTGTTCAATGTTCCCAAATCACATTGGTTTCTCATACAGCATCTCTGTATAGTATGTGTCCTAAACGGCTTGTTGGAGCTCCTGCACCCCCCCCTCCCCCCCCTATGAGCCCACTGATGAGTCCACCACCGTTACAGCGGAACATCAGTTTTTATGTGTTACAAAGGCGTTTCTTAGCCACCAGAAAATGACAAACAGATGAGAATGCTGCATGGGGGTCTGGGTGCCGTGTTGGCAGGACGTTGCTCGCTGCTCCGCCTTTTGAGGCTCGAGGAGCGGACAGTGTGAGCTGTATTACTTGTGTCGTTTCCTGGTTGCTGCATCTGAGAAAACATAAGGCTGAGTGAGTGTGTGTGTGTGAGGAGCTCCGCGGCTTGGTCCATTTGGACCTGGATATCGTTACGTCACTATACTCAGGAAGCAAAAAAATGGAAAAAGAAAAATCTCCAACGAGGCGTTCTGGGGCAGCATAGACAGGTATTTTCTGTGTTAGAGTTTTACTTGCTACAGGGTATATTTCGAGGGTTTGTGACTCTGCAGACCGTTTACATGCAGAAAAAACTACATAACACACAAGGGGACGGGTAATAACCGGAAAAGCATGACATGGGACCCTTAAAAGTGATTTGTGCCTGTCCGGCAGTGGCTCAGTCAGTAGGGGCTTGGACTGGGAGCCTTAGGGTCACCGGTTCAAGTCCCCGCCCAGACCTAAATATGGAGTGTGGACTTCTACTTGGAGAGGTCCAAGTTCACCTCCTGCCCTGCCGTGGTGCCCTTGAGCAAGGCACCGGACACCCCCCTTCCCCCCTCACTCCCATTGCTCCCCGGGCGCTGTACAATAGCTGCCCACTGCTCCTAGTACTAGACTCCTGGTACTAGGATGGGTTAAATGCAGAGGCCAAATTTCACTGTCTGCTGTGTGCTCTGCATGTGAGACCATTAAAGAGGGTTTCATCCCTCCCAGTTCTATTCTCTATTATTTTATTCTCCTTCCTAACTTTAACTCAAAATTAACTCAAAATTCACTCCGTCTCTAAATGTTTTTTCTTTGTTCTCTCGTGTAACATAATTATGTTCTATTTATGCTGGGACTCTTTGGAAAAAGAGTTTTTGATCTTGTGACCATCTTGGTTAAATAAAGGTCAAAGAGAGAAAACGTTTTGACCTGAATTAAGAAATGTTTGGGTGTTTGTAGGGCGCCCTGGTGGCCCAGTGGTTAAGATGCATATTCTTTAACCACAACGTAGCCTGTGCAAATCTGTCTGGAGACCTTTGTGGCACGTCACCCTCTTTGTCTTCCCATGCATACTTTTATACTGTAAACCAGCCAATAATAAGCAAGATGTCCCTCTATAAACATTATAAAAGTAGAATTATGATGTTTGTATTGTTTTATGCTGATGTGGCTCTAGTTTTGGAGCTAGTCTTTATTTCGAATGACTGTCCGAAGTACAGAGAAGTAAAACATCCCGCATTGATGTGTTCGTTAGAAGTTAGAAACACGCTGTGGCTGAAATGAAAAACTGATGAAAATACTGCTGGAGCCAAACATTGCACTCTGACAGCTCATCTGTGGTTGTAGTTCTCTGGTGCCCCTCACCGAACCACATTACCCAGAGGGCCGCGCTGTAACGAGCTCCATGTGTGCTGCGGCCTTAATGCATACCACCCTGTGCACGTGCACACGCACACGTGCACACTTAGCTCCAGACGTGCTTTGTCAGTGCACTAGTAATAGTAGGCTTCTGTTTATAGAGAGCTCTATTTTAAGACTCACAACAAGACTCACTGATTACAGGCCTCTCTCTTCTGTCCCCCCCCTCTTTGTGCTCCCCTTCCCCACAGTCGTTCCCCTCCGTATAACTCCTCATCCTTTTATTTTTCTTGATTTTTTTTCTCAACCCTTTCTCTCTGTTTCTTTCCACTGTTATTCACTTTCTGGTGCTGCGTACAGAGCCTTGACATTCTCCAGAAGCTTTTCCTTGGTATTATTCACAGATTTGTAAACCCTTTCACCCTTACCCACCTACGACTTTGTCCGTGTTAGTGTGGCCTTTCTGAATATGATCAATCTCAGATATCTGCTTATGAATGCAGAATCTGTAAGCGACTGTATACTGAGCTTTTATAGTCTGAGTTGAATTTACCAATCAGGTTTAAGCAGCCTTTGGTTGCATGCAGATAAACAACTCCTACCCGATTCCCTCAAGAGACTTTGTCTTTGGTCAGGCCATTGCAATTCAAAATGTGATCATAACTAGTTGAATACAATTTAAAAAAAATCAGTCTCTGATACAAGTAAAAGAGGTGCAACAAATCAATGAAAGACCTGGAAACAGCTTTTTATTTTATGGTAATATGGCTACTTGTAAAACTATCCTGTCGTTTTTTCCACTCAACACCAACTCCATTCTCGTGTCTCAAACGGCTCATCAGGATGTAAACAATGCACAGTAGAGTAAGTCTTGGCCAGGATATCCGCTTGCTACAATGGATCCCCCAAAGTATTGGCCGTTGACAGATAGTGGATGGTGTCTGAGATTGGAGCATGATGCTCTTCACTTGGTTGTCTTGTTCTCCCTTCACAGCGCGGTGGTCAGAAGACGACTCAGCAGTAATTTATGAAATCTGAACCCGCAGTTTCTTTTCAACCCTGTTCCTTGTAAACCTCATCCATATCTCTGCCTGCCATGTTGTCGCAGAGTCTCCAAATTGCGCCAAACTGTCAAGTCAACCCTTAGTGGGTCTCATGAGGATGTTTCTGGTGTTATAGATGGAAGGCTATACACTCTTTATACCTCAGTGTTTCATTTCTGCCAGACCCAGACACCAATCATTACTACAGAACTGTGGGGATACAGAGTGTGTGTGAGAGTGTGTGTGAGACAGAGAGCTTGTGTGTGCGTGAGAGCAGTGGTGGCGCTATGTGGTATCGTTGAGGGCCCGGTTTGGTTTTTGTTTGGAATCGGGCCTGATGTTTAGTCTCCTCAGCAAATATCTCCTCTGCCCGCCTGCCCTTGCAATTACACTCTTTAACAGTGAATCCAGTGTAGCTGTTCTCCCATGGCTCTGCAGTTTATTTCTGCATGTGCACTGAGTTTGTGACTTCAATGGTGTTGAAAGATGCAGTCACTAAACTGTACAGATGTGTGTAGTTGAGAAAGTTAAAATGATTGTTTACTTCCAGGATTGGCTTAGTCCGAGAGCAAGAGGCGAGGACTCATTGGCAGTCTAGCTAAATAATGTACACATTTGGTTTTGGGACTAGTGTTATTCCATCACAAGATGATCTCTATTTCCTGCTCGCTGCAAGTGGCCAGAAAATAAAGCACAAAGAATTTCTCTATAACGTCAACATTTCAAGAAAAAATAAGTATACTATGAAAATAAAAAATGTCAAGCCTAGTCCCCAATAAATATAATATAAGATAAATACCCATCATACCACTAAAGCCCATTGCATTTCGACCATAGACAATACTGATAACTGAAGTTGACTTTGGCAGAGCAGTGTGTTCAAGTAGGACTAAATTGCTCATTGTAATAAAACATGTTTTTTTGGACTTTCCACTTTCAGGTGGTGGGGGGAACTGGAGCGAGAGAGGGGAGACGACCGGAGGAGGATGGAGGGAGGCAAGAGGAGACCCTAATAAATGTGAAAACAGAGAAAGACTGTGGGAGAGAGGAGGAGGAGGAACGAGAGGAGAACATTTTCACCCTCATCCCAGAGGTCGATCGCATCGCAGCAGAGGCAGATACCAGCTGGCTCCTAGGTAACCGTGTGGAAATCAGATCTTCGATACGATATACTTTATTGTCCCCGTAAGGACATTTGTTCTGGACTCCGTCCTGCAGTTCCACGTACATATACAAACATAGTAAACATTCAAATACATACATCATCACTCATACACCGTTTGAACAAACACTATACACAGACGCACATACTGACAATGGCGACCTATTGCACAACCCTCATGGCCAACATTTAAAAAGTACATTTCATTACATGTGAATGTTAAGAAGCTTAATGGACATAGGTAGGAATGAGTGCTTATAGTGATCAGCCTGATCTTCATCTTCTTCAATGTTTCTTCTGTACTTTTCTGCTCTAATGTCATTGTTCCTCCTCTCCTCTCCTCTCCTCTCCTCTCCTCTCCTCTCAGATGGTCACAGCCTCCTGCACCAGGAACATAACCCCTAACAGAGTGGAGAGAAGAGCAGGATTAAAGGGGAGGATTTGAGGAGTTAAGAGGATGGGGAAGACGTGATGAAAGGAGCAAAGTAATCAAATTTCTCTGAACAAACTGATTAGTGAATCAACCCGTCAGGAATGTTTGTCTAAAGGATGCAGAAGGTAGATATACGGGATTAGGAGGAGGCAGCATGAAGAGATTAGGAATAAATCATTCAATTTACCAGTTTAACTTGAATTTGTCTTTTTGTGCTCGAAATTGTCCTTACAGATTTTATTCTTTTAAAGTCAATCATTTTAAAGCCATTACTTTATTTTAGGGCAACTTAACTGTCTCACAGTGACAACACATTTTAAATATACATGAGCACTCCCCAAACAAACACAGAAATGCCACTTCAAATGGATTAATGGTTAATCCTCAAGGCTGTTTTTACCTCTTATCTCTCACAATAAAAAGAGAAAGATCTTAAAAGCTGTGTGTGTCCAGTGGCATCATCCTTTTAAAGTAATGGTTTCAACTGAATAAACAGTAACACATGGAGGTCTTTCTTGTTGGAACAACCACTTTTATTCTGTGCATATAATGAAACATTATTCTTGAATTCAATTAAGACCCAGAACCAGATGACACTATTCGACCTGATAACATTAAAACCTCACTGCATTAAGCTGAGTGTGTGGTTTGTGTCTGTGTGTGTCTGTGTGTGTCTGTGTGTGGGATTGTTGGGTTGTTGAGGAATGTATAGCCTTTACAGCCGAGCTGACTGTCTTCCTGTAGCACCGTGAACGTCGTAAAACCCACCGGAGAGGAAAAGGATGCAGAGAAAGTTCCACAGCCTGAGTGCTTTCATTCCTCTGTGTTTGAGTGTGTGTGTGTGTGTGTGTGTGTGTGTGTGTGTGTGTGTGTTTGTGTGTTTTCCTATAAGCAGAGCATTAAAGAAATGTGAGAGTACATTTCTCAACAGATGGAAACATCTGAGGGGAAATCAGAGTGTTGACACAGTGATAGTGAGACTCTGTTTGTCGTGGCTGAGTTACATCGCTTAACTCTCCTGAGGTTCAATGACACTCGTCACACAGGCCTACATTCAGGCTGCTTTAAGCTATATATCTTACATGCACTGAAGATACACACTTATCATTCTATTTTAATGCAGTATGGAAGAGATTTATCCTTAAAATAATGAACGCCAACAACACTGGAGGTATGTGAACCTCGAGACTCCACTATGAAAATTAATAGTACATTTGTGTCCCTCAAATACCCCTTCATAGGAATAGTTTACCCCAAAAATTATCATTTGTGTACCAATTGCCAGCCTGTGTTACCTTGAATTCTGATGGAAACATTTTATTTCATACCTTTATGACGATCAAAAAATACAAAAACTGAGAAAAAGTTAGTCTTTTGATATGGGTTTGCTTGTTAACGCAGCCCCACATTTTTAATAAGACTTTTCTCTGTTTTTTTCAACAAGGAGTCAAGCAAGAAGAATACAGTGAGTAGTTGATACACAAATGATAATTTGGAAGGGAAACTCTTAAATATGACTGTTATATGAACATTAAGCTGTCGATGACGAGAATCCAATAGTAATAATACTAATAAGTTCATTACAGAGCAAGTCGTGTATTGAAGAGATGTTGAATCTTTGATAAAAGTGACAGAATAAAATTAAACATGTTATTTGCATTCTGAAGTTGTATTAGGCTTAGAGGACCAGAAATAGAGCCCTTTAGTGAATATTAGAGTTTTTAAGGGGATTTGACCAAAACATCCACTCCCTGTTTTTCTTCTCAGTCTACAGGCAGCAGAAGAAACAACAGAGAAAGTGTGCGTGCGTGCACGTTTTGAGGTTAGTGACTGTGGTGAGTGGAGCGAGGGTGTGTACCATGAGGAGGGGCAATAAGGGTGGGGCAGGCAACACACACACATGACCCGGGTCCATTAGCCCCTTCTACATAATAACAATAACAGGAGGAGGAAGCAAAGGATGGAAGGTTAAGAAGAGAGGAAGAGGGAAAGAAAACTAAAAGGAAGACGGAAACGAAGGAGTGTAAAGGAGAGAGGAAAGGTAAACATTGAGAAGAGGAAGATGAGGAGCGGAGGAAACACACCAGAGGGGTGGTCGATGGAGAGAGATGGAGGTGGAGGACTAAGAATAGAGAAAACAGGATGAGCGTGGAGTAAAGAGGGGAGGGGAAGACGAGAGTAAAAACACAAGCAATCTTGAGTCGGTAGTCTTGCCTCAACCACAGGAAACCCTGTTGGCTGCCCGACAGATCGGCTTCCTGTGTGTGTGTGTGTGTGTGTGTGTGTGTGTGTTTGTGTGT